CCTGCCTTGGGCGAGTGGGTGTGGCATGCGTCGCCGGTCAGGAACACGCGGTGGTTCTTGTGGAAGAAGTCGGCGTGGCGCTGGCCGATGGCGTAGGCGGACCACCAGGCCGTCTCGGCGATCTGCATCGTGTAGGGCGCAAACGTGAGGCGCGCTCGCTCCTGCAGGTGCTCGAGCGTCACGTCGGCCACTTTCGTGCCGTGCGGCAGCTCGATGTAGAAGCGCACCATGGCGTCGCCCTCGCGCGGGATGATGAGCAGGTTCCCCGCGCCCGAGTTGAGCACGGCTTTCTTGCGAATGTCGGGGAAGTTGGTGAGTGGGTAGACGTCCATCACGCCCCAGACGGCGTCGGTGCTGTCGCCCAGCATCCTGAGCCCGAGCGATCGCCGGACCGTGCTGTGCGCCCCGTCACATCCCAGCACGTACTTGGCCTGGTACGTCTTGGGGACGCCGTCCTGTTCCGTCTCTACCCTGACGCAGAAGGCACCATTGTCATCTGCCGCCGTCTCGTCGACTTCAACCCCTTTCACCTCGGTCGAGTACTCGATGGGGGCCGGCACGCCGCCCTTCTCGAGATCTCCAATCATCAGCGCGTTGAGCCTCGCCTGGTTGAGGATGACGTGCGGCTGGTGGCTGATCTCGGTCTCCTTGTCGGGCGCATACCGCGAGCGCTTGATGCCGGCGGCCGGGTCGTCGGGCGAGGGCGACCAGAAGGCGAGCTCGAGGACGTGGTACGACTCCTTGAGCAGGTCCTCGGCGATGCCAAAGCTGTCAAAGATCTCCACCGTGCGCGTCTGCACGCCGTCGGCCTGGCCGATCTTCATGGGCCCATCGCGCCGCTCGAGGATCTTGTAGTTGATGCCGAACCGCGACAGCCACACGGCCGCGCAGAGCCCGGCTGACCCGCTGCCGCAGATGAGCACGTCAACCTGTTCTGCGTCGACGGATGCCATGGCTTCAGACATTATAAGATAGGGGTTTAATGGGTGGTGGTGGTGCTTGCTGCGGTAGACAAGAGTTTGAAGCTGTCAAGAATTGAGTGGAGTGGCGGTGATGTCAATGTATTGTTCAATTTTGTCCTCTGCGGAGGAGCTGGCCGTGGTTATCCCCCCCCGGCGACCGTGTATCGTGCTCCGAACAAAACATGATGTCTGAGAGTGCGAGGTGCCAAGGCTGGCGATGCAAGTGCCGGACGACCCGATCATGACCCGAACAACGAGAGCAGAGATGTTCCTTGCTCCCGCGGAGCGGGCGTGGCAACTTCATGAAACAGGCATGGCTGCTGACCACAAGTCGCCCAAGGGCCTTCGCGATGGCAGTAGGGTGGAGTTCATTAGCGCTTCCCCAGGTCCAGGTCCGCTACCCTTCCCCGCAGCCGACCAGTCCCTCGGCTCCCGGTTCGGAAGCGTTGGGCTTTCTTAATTCCGCACATATCCACACCATCTGGTACTTACCGGATCCTGCAAACTTTTTTTTAAAGCAGAAAAAAAGAAGGCATGAGGCGTTATCATGTAGCTTTGTCAGACATTACGCATGCGGAAGTGGAATCTTGGACAACGCGTTGCTCAACGGCATTCTTTCGTTTCGATCCCCAACGGAGAACAGAGAAATTGTTCTTGAGTTGGAAGATAAACAACCTTACGCCGTGGCGTAAAGACGTCGGCAAAAAGACGCAGACCACGACCAAACGCTTGAAAGGCGAGACTCTAAAGTCCTTTTGCAGCATCTGATGAAAGAAGCGTTATTTCCTTTCGCATACAATGGTTGAGATATCACGCGCGAACTCAAATTTCAAGTGGCCAAGAAGAAAACATTCCACAAGACAGCATTCAACCCCGGTACAAGTCGGCTCATAGATAAGATCAGCGTGCCTGCACGTGAATCCCATGTCCTGCCAAAGTCTAACTTCCATGAACGGCAATCCTCAGCCTCGATCCAAGTCGTGGCTCGTGGATACGATATGCATTTCTGGATTTCACCTGCCGGGGAGGCATTCTGAATCTTGATGACAAAAACGGTTCGAGATACCGAGTCAAAAATCACCTTGGTTTGCGTCGTCTGTTAGAAATAACCTAAATTGGCTCTCACAATGTGGCAACGAGAAACCTTGATCTGTTGAGAAAGGAATATTTAACACTGCACATTCTTCTCGGAAAAGTGCCTCCATGCCTTTCTGACAGGCTTCTTTTCTTCAAGATCAAACCACAGACCATAACAAAACACAACCCAGATCCCATCATGTCAGCTCCGACGATAGAATCCGCCAAGCCCGGTCCACCCCAGATATGGGCCCTGATCCCTCGGAAGAGAGTCTTACGTTTCCAGTACTTCGATGAGACAAGAGTCTGGCAGCCTCCGTAGAACTGCCGTCCTCTTGATCCTGCGCGTCCTATTATAGGCATCTGGGTCGTCATCCCAGAGCATGGAGAACCCAAGATCCCGAGCGTCCTGCACATCTGTCGCGAGTCTAGAGATGAGTATCTGAAGCGTTACACGGCCATCAATACCGCGGATTACACCTCTTGTCCCCACCCCTTTCTTATGCTGTGGGGAACGGAGACGCCTTTCGTGGACTACGATGTGGACACTATCACGTTCTGTATTCGTTGGGCATTGCCGATACGCTGTACGTTCGACAGTACAAAAATCACGAATCTGATGATCGATACCACTGTAATGATTAAGACCGGGAAGATATATCGTTCATTTAGAAGAATCGAGCGCCTAGCTCTAGAACTTGCGATGATAGCACCAGTAATCCTGACTGGCTTCGAGACCCCACGTCTACAACTCCTTCTCCCCGCCTCCTTCTTGAACGTCGAAACCACCGCCACTTTTCACTCAACTCCTCGGCACGGGATTGACTTCTTCGTTGAGGGACAAAGCCATCCTATGCCCAACATCCGCATTGTGCCTTATGAAGACGCGGCAAGGCGAGGGGCGGCATTTCCAAGCGAGGTCACCAACTACATTGTGGCATGGGCTAATGACAGTTCTACCAATAGAAATCATCTTTCTATAGAAAACATTGTCATAATCGAAAATGTTCCTGAAAGCAAATTTCTACTCATACTTTTTGCCAAACATCAGTCGCCGCGACATGATGGACTGCCAAACCGATCAGCGTCTTATCACCGCGACCCGCGCAAAGGTCCAGTGAGTCCCTCCCCCACCACCTAAATCATCTCTATTTATTCGACATCCACCACACAAAGCTAATTACTCACGCAATACACACCAGGAACGGATCGCAATATTGGGCTCCGGGACATGCTGATGCGCGGAAAATAAAAAAAGACAACGTTGTTCGGATGGAGCCGCCGAACCGTGTGTTGCCGGATTGGGCGACTGTTTACTCGCCCCCCCGGATTAGCCAGATTGCTCCGCCAGAGAACAGCCTTTAAATCCAGTGCCTGCTTCTCCAACAACGGCATTTAGGCTGCGGCGCGGCCCAATATCCTCGCAATTCACGAAGTCTTGCCAAGACCTATATATACCGGCCGCCGGCGTTTGCGTGTCGCGCCATCATTACCCCAGAGTGGGAAAAAAAGAGTGTGGGGAAGAGACAAGAGATTCGGGAGAGGGGGGCCATATCTTCTGGTCCTGTTCCGGCTTTATTTCGATCGACAACAAAACACCGTTTTTCGTTTTGCATCCTCTTGTCAACTAGTCTGCCAGCCTTCTCTCGTCAGACCAGACCGACACCGAGACAGACACCATGCTTCAACTCAACACCCTCCTGGCACTCGCCTCGCTCGCGAGCGCGGCGGCCGTCGAGCCGAGACAGACGGCGTCGCAGGTGGTCAAGCTCAGCTCGATCGAGAACGTGGCAGCCCGATCCAACGGGCAGATCCTGGCGACCAACATGAACAGCGCCAACCTGTACACCATCGACCCGGAGAAGAAGACCTCCGCAACCGCCGTCGTGGTGACCGGCGCGTCGGGGCTGAGCGGCATCGGCGAGTACCTGCCGGACGTGTTCGCCGTGATCGGCGGCAAGGGCATCTACAAGGTCGACTTCACGGGCGCTTCGCCGAAATCGTCCCTGATCAAGACCATCACCGAGGCCAACAACCTGAACGGCCTGGCCGTGTTCGACAACAGCACTGTGCTTGTCGCTGACGCCGGCAAGGGCACCGTGTACAAGTTCGACGTCAACACGGGCGCCTACTCCTCGGTGCTGACCGACGCCACCATGGCGCCCTCGGGCGGGATCCCCTTCGGGATCGACGGGATCAAGTACCGCGACGGCGTGGTCTGGTACACCAACATCTTCAAGAACAGCTTCCACAAGGTTGTCGTCGACAAGGTCACCGCCAAGGCGACGGGCGCGTTCACCACGCTGTGGACCAACCTGATGGGCGATGATCTGTGCTTTGGCCCCAACGGCAAGATCTACGTGGCGACCAACGGCAAGAACTCGCTCGTCGAGGTCGATCCGACTGCCGCCAAGCCGGCTGCTGCGTCGGTCGGGAGCGTGACGGGCTCGACCTCGTGCGCGTTCGGCCGGACCGAGAAGGATAAGAACGTGGCATATGTTGGTGCCGGCGCGGGTGTGTTTGCTGTCACCATCAAGGCTTAAAGACAGACTGTGGTGTTTTGGAGGAAAGGTGGGGGGATGAGATACAAGTACGCGAGAAGGGAACAAACTGTATATATACTTGGACTTGGTCAAAAACCTGCTGCATCGATGTCTCAAATGGTAGATGGGAATTTTGGAACACGCATTTCTCCTGAAATCTGCATGAAATTTTGGGACTGAGTGTTTTTCTGGTGCGTGAACAGATCACAAGCCCCAGAGCACACGAAAGGATGTAGTTTGCATCACATGAACAAAAGCACACTTTTATTCTCCTCCAATCCCGGCCAGCCAGAGCACAAGCAGCCAAGGAGGGGTGAGATAGAAAGGGGCCGTTGAAATGGAACCCCACCGCACAAAAATAATCCCTCAAAAAAAAAAGGGGACGGGAAAGGTCTACAAGTTGACTCCTGCTGACAAGTGGACGGGCTGGGAATCGAACCCAGGACCTTTCGCATCACGGACACCAATCTTCAGAAGGCGGTGAGATGCTAAGCGAACGCTCTACCAACTGAGCCACACGCCCTGCGCTTGTTTGATGAATTTGGGAGCAAGGAATGATGTTTATATGGGTGGCGGATGTCGGTGTCGGGTGGGATGAGGGCTATTTTTTTCGTCAAGTTTGGTGGAGTTGATGTGGACCTGGAGTTGGGCCTGCATCCATGTGCCAAGTGGAGACAGCTCAGCCAAGAGCCAATGACAGATTTCTACCCATCTTCCAGTTCGCCATTGATGGGCGTTCTATCTATCTTCGAGTCGGTGTTCTGGAATAAACTTGGCGGGGGGGGAGGGGAGGAAAGCAAGTACCGTATTGGAGAAACTCGAACGGGATGAGGGGTCAGCCCATGGAACCGTCCATATTGCATTCGGTAGATGAATGAACCTGGAAGATGGACGCCCCCGGCTATTTGGATAGAAGCAACTTTATCTACGGGAAACTATCCGAGAACGAAACGTGATATACCTCCGAGATTCTTATCATGGGGGGTTTCATCTTCATGTGCCTTTTGGGTGAACAACGGTCCTCAGTTTCCTCTCATCAGCATCAGCATCGCCGTTGTCGTTGATTGTAGGAACTTAGACCATAACCGAACACAAACATGTGGCTCCCTTCGATCTTGTCCCCAGCCCTCCTCCTTCTGCAAAGAGGGGGGCCAGACACATGCACATCCTTCCCCAGCTGGACGGTCAAGGACTTCAACAGCACCACCAGCGACACGGTCGGGTCGGGCGGCGCGGCCTCGTTCACGCTGATCAACAACCTCAGCGGCGCGGTCGACAACCTGCGCTGCAGCCTGCAGGTCAACTACAGGTGCATCATCACGGGCACGCCGAGCGACAAGAACCTGACGGTCAACGTGGCCGTCCGGGCCGGCGCGCTGACGCTCTTACTGGAGGAGACGGTTGACTGTCCTGGGAGAACGACGTGAGTATTTGTTTTTTTGGTCAAAAGTATCAGCTTCACCCTTGTATTAACCAAACGCAGTCCCCTTCATGTGATCGGAAATGGAGACTTGGAGTTGGACTGCACGTGGGACGAGAACATCGGTGGCAAGGTGTCTTGCGGGCTGCTGGAGGAGGTTAACGTCATTCAGGGCGACGCGGTCGAGCTGGCGCCAGATCCGTGGCATGGCTAGGGCCCATTTCCAGTTATTGTTCTGTTCATTCGGCGTGACAGATCTCCATGCTAGAAACGATGGAATTTGGGAGTCTGTGTGTGTTTAGACGTTCTTTGGGGTTTACAATACATGAATGAACATCAAATTGTCACCACTATGAGCATGACTGACCTGAACTGCAAGTCAGCGAGATGATGATGTTGGGTCCGTACTGGGAACCCTGACCTTGAGATGAACTAGGCAAGTCTGTACCATTCGACCAGGCTCTGTTTCGGTTGGCTGGTGGCTCGGAGTTTCTCCTGTCCAAGTTGGAAAGCCTCTCTCGACCAACTTGACCACAGGTCGGAGGGAGCCAAGAGAGTTTGAGAAGGCAACAGGACAGTGGACCAGCATGACAGGGACATGTCTCGTCGATCCTGACTGCAATTAGCATCCTGCATCCGTCCCATTTCTTGCTTTTGGTTTTGCTTTGGCCAAAAAGCCACCGTCCCTCGGTGAGCCCACTTGATCGACGATGTCTCGGGTTCGTCGGGTTGGCCTGGCCTTTTGCAAGGTGAAGAAGTAGCAGCCGGCAGACAGGTCGGCCATAATGTACTTACCCCGGTCCATCAGCGGGCCAACATGACCGACTGCGGCTGGCATATAGGATTGCGTGCGTTTTCAGCAGGCCGACAGGCAGGTAGGCAGCTTTGAAGGGCAAGTCTTGACGACATTGGGGAGGACAGGCCGGGTGGCCTCATTTTCCCCCTTGCCCCCACGTGTTTGTTTGTTAGTTGTGTGTGGCTGGCTGGCTTTGCTGGCCGCCCAAGGAAAGAAGTTCGGACGAAGGAGAGGAGAAAAAGAGCTGGTCTTTTCCAGAGAGACCAGACACGGGGACGAATAAGGGGCAAAGAAATGTGGCTACCTAATCGGGCCGCCGAGTCGGGTGTGGCGCGGCGGCCGTTCGTGGGCGGGATATGCCATGTTGGGGCCGCGAGTGCTGTTTGTCCAGTGCGAATCACGGTGAATCACTGCGAAGTTGATGTGTCTGCGCAAATCACGACATCAAGGAGAAAGAAAGAAGGAAAGAAAAGAAAGGAAGGAAGGAAGAAAGGAGAAAAAAAAAGAAAGAGAAAAAGATGGGAGAAGTTGATGGCCTACTAGCTTTCTGCCTAGTAGGTAAGGACCTCTCACATGACTTTTCTCCCACGCATCCGCCCGTCACCCGTGAGGACCAGGCATGCATTGGATGCGGCCGCGGCCGTAGCGGTGGTGCCCGTTTTGCCCCTCGGTAAGCCGTCGAATTATTGTCATTCCATTCGGCAGCGATCCGATGCCCCCCCGTAGATTGGTTCGTCGCTAGGGCTGACCCGACCACGCCACCCCTGAAACTCCAGCGGGGAAGATGGCCCGCGTGCTTCCTTTAGGGCTGAAATCCGCGGCGGAAGGAAGACATGGGACACTTGAGGAGTTAGTGAGGACAGCATGAAAGAGCTGAGATTGCAGATTGCAGGCGGATGTGGCTCTCCACTGCCGCGATGGCAGTCCTCTCTGTAGAAGGCGCACAATCTCCGCCACGGCCGTTGATCCATCCATCCAACAGAGAGGCACTGGGCCGATAATAGGGGGTGATTTGACCCAAGAAAGATATTTTTTTCGGGAGTGGGATGAGATGGGATTTGAATGTGATTGGATCGGGGTTTTCTCCGGCTGTGTTCGCTGTACGCGGGTTGTCACCTCATGTTCTTCTTGTTCGAGAGGCGCGGTGACGGATTTTAGGTTGGCTTGCGGTGCAGTGGGACGTTTGTTGGTGATTTTGTCTCAGCTCGAGTTTGTTTACATCGGGTCCCGTTCGTTGCAGAAATGGGAATGGTGCTGCTCCACGGCCCACCGTCGTCGCTGCCAACAGCGTCAGCTAATATTAGCCCAATCGGGATGGCTGGTGATGTCATATACTGCTGCGTTTGTGGGGAGTGCGTGTTTGATGGATCCCCATCTGGGCAAGTTTTCTCCTTTCAGAAGAAGCCGTCACGCCCGTACGAGAGCGAGCTTGACGATTTCAGATTGGGGCCAAATTGAAAAGAAACTTATTTTGTCTCTTTTGCCGACAAATACGGAAGAAAGGATTCGACTGCCATGGATGGTTCGGGCGCAAACATCGCGCTACAGTGGCCGAAGTCGCGTGTTGGTTGCTTGGGTCGGCATAACCGCCGTCTGATTCGCCCCCAACCCTTCTATTAATCTTCTGTGCATGTTCCTTCTAGGGCACTTGGCCACCGTGTGCGGGCGGGCCACGCGGCGCTGGCGTGCTGCGGAAGCAATGCAACAGGCCGGTTACAGGGGGGGTTTAGAGCTACAACACAGATGGGGAGATGCACCATTACGGCGCGCTGGAGCTGCAACCCGTCCAAAATAGCATGAAACAGGGCAAACACAGCAGCGCATAACGACAGAGAAGACTCGTGCGAATGGGACCCGTCGTGGCGCTTGCTCTGATCTGCTTTGAAACAACGGCAATTGATGGCGATGGTGGCATTGTGGCTTGCGGTCTGCTGCAAGGGGGAGAAGAAGACATACCTGGTATTCAGCGTTTTCTGGGACGTCTTGCCATCCGTTGTCCACAGGCGATCAATACGTTGCCATGGAAGTGGAAGGTTCCCCACCTCCCGTCAGGCTCACCTCCCCCCCAGTCTCTCGGTATTAGTAACCCGACCACCACTAATCGGTCCGCCGCAAGGTTGGCTCTGCCGCGACAGGGCTGCCGGACCAACAGCAAAAAAGCAAGATCAGATGGATTGCTGGAGTGCCGTTGGATTGCTAGTGCCGTTGTCACGGGCCTGGCGGGTAGGGCACCGTGCGGCATGGCATGTCACAACAGTCAAATAAAGCAAAAGGAAAGTGGGGCTGTTGTTGACGACGTCACCGATCCGAGGTGGTCATGCTCGTGAACATGGCCATCCATCTCCATGTGCGTGATGGTGTGGAGCTGAAGGTGTGTGGAAGTGTGCTGATGTCCGGCACGTGGGTGTCTCGTTCTAGAAATATGCATGGAACACCAAAAGCAATCTGCGCAAGGCTGGGGTAATTTGCAAGTCTGCCTGACTGCCTGCCTTGTCTGCCTGCCGGACGAGTCATACCTGGAAATGTCATGACGTCTTAATTGACATATGCAGTGTCCTTTTGGAAGACGAATGCGGAAAATCTGGCGGCCAAGAGATGAGGAGAGTTGAACAGAAAACAGTGCTTCATTTTTGTAAATCTTCTCCTGCGTCTATGTAGTATACCACATCAATAGTACAACTATCCCCGTTCCAAGCAATATTCCAGGTCTGTCGGTCCCGATGCATCCTGATGCACTCTGTTTGTTATCGCTCCCATCAATGCAAGTAAAAAATATAAAGAAGAAAATTTCAAGGAAGCCCCGTCCACCACACAACGCTCCAAGGCCGTCCATCATCCTCCAAATAACTCATGCCCTGTGCCGCCGAATGCATTTGTGTTCCTCCCATGCACCTGCCTGCCTGCCTGCCCTTGTTCGTCGTCCATGCTATGCAGCGAAAACAAAATGCCTCCTGCCCTGCTCCCAATGCCGCTGAAATATGAGATGCCGTAAAGAATAACGAAAACGAAGAAGACGCGTGTCAAAGGAAAGTGGTCCTGTGTGCTGTTGGGCCTATGTTGAATGTTGAATAGAGGAGTTGTCCGCAAAAAAAGCTTTTAGTCAATGTGAAGAAAGTTAAAACGCCTTTGAATGCAATGTTGCATGTCTTCTCGTAAGAGACTGTCTGGAGTGGTGTCTGCGTGCCATTTGAGGTGGTGTTTGCGTGCCATTTAGACTCTCTTCTTATGCCCCGAATGTAATAAGGTGTCTGCGGTTGGCCTCCAGAGTCGAGGGGTGGCAAAGTCAAGAAGGCAATGGAGTGACTAG